GAAAACTATAAACCGGAAAACAGAATTCCCCGACTTTTCACGGACCTTGACAATATCAAAGATTTTCCCTGACTTTTTACAAATTCCCTGACTCTTCCCTGACCTTGAAAACTTTTCGTCTTTCCCTGATTTTTCCCTGACAGTGGCAACCCTGGTTTTTGTTGCTGTACTCGGGCTAACTTAGGCCGCAGTTTGAGAAATAATTGGACTTTCAAATTTCACCTTAAATTAACGAGTTGGTAGCTTTAGGGAGATAAATGCTCTATATTATGCTTTTTGAGTGACATGACCTTGAACAAATGTGCTGTTATTAAACTTCTGGCGTGGTTATATTGAACTATTGTGTTTTCATTGAACTGTATGCTAAAAACTGCAGAGCGGGAATCCGCGGACTCAATCTCCGTAGCCAGACAAAACTAACATGATCTTAGTCTTTAACCAAATCGGAATGTACTGCATGATCGGCCCTCTAACAGACCTTTGGGTCTGGTGGACTTTTAAGCCAGACTAGAAAATCATTTATCTACTTAAAACTAGTGGTAATCGCAGATTAGGAACTGCGTTCGAGCTTTTTTAGGTTTACTGTCAAATGTGACGTTATTTCCTAATAAACTGATGCTGCAAAACGCTTTGTTTTTTTTTTAAAAAAGAAACAAAACAAAGCAAAACGACTACAAAAAAAAAAAAGAAAAAAGTCTCAATGGGCAGGAGTGGAACCCGAGACATTCGACGTCAAGAGAGTCGACGTATATAAAGAGCAACGCATTATGCATTGCGCCAAGCAACCAAATTGCCAAGACCATTAGTTAAATTAATTATTTTTAACATTTTTGTGCCCACGAGATAAATTTTAAAAAAAAATGCACTTTTTATTTGAGTGTCAATGTATTTAGCACGAAAGTGCTAATTGGGGACACTATTTTTACGTCTCCTAATGGAGACGGGACCGCCATTTTACGTGGTCATTCGAGCCACGCGAAGGTCTCACCGCTTGCAGTGCAAAGGAAGTACCTTCATTTCTCAGTCATTTTAAGACCCTGAGTAATGGTCCGGCCCCGGGAATCGAACCCGCGACCTCCCGCCCTGCAGTCAAACGCTCTACCGACTGAGCTAATCCTGCTACGGTTAAATTACTCTAAATGGCGCAGAAAATGCAGACGTACGACGAAATGAGTACTACAAAAGGTCACCCTTTAGTACCACAGGAATCCCAAGATTATGTGTTGCGTTCTCCTTACGTCGAACGCAACAAGAGAGAATAATGGACCAGAGACGGAATCTTCGGGCGTTGGCTGTGTTATTTTAACAGGATGTAATGGAACGAAAGCCTAATTCCTGAGACGTCCGCACATTTTTATCCATTGTTTAAAACGTCATCAAGTCCACTGGCGACTGACTGCTTCACAACAAACAATACAGAATATTTTAATGGCGACTGTTGAATTCTAAGACCAAACAAAAGTTTGCGGACCTCTGCGAAAACTTATTTCCGATTAATTTCAAGTGTTTCATTGGTCTAAAAATAACTTTGGTGAAATTCTCATCTCCTAAGGGCTAGAATGGGCGTTTCTTTCTCTGTCCATTTATTCTCTCTTGCTTAAAACAATTACCCTGCAAAAGGATTTAAGTTATACTTCATTTAATAACCGACCCTTCATCATACCTTCTTTAAAACTCCTGTTCCCAAGTTCTTGAATTTCTTCTACACTCAGCTTAATTTCAATAAAATTTAGGTTGCTTATAAAGAACCCTTTTGTGTTGGATGTGGAGCCAAGCTTCAGACGCGTGTTCCGGTCTTGATCCACATAACTTTGTTCCGATACCAACAGATTGTCTACTAGTGTGCCATTATAATTTTGATAGAGGGCTACGTTGGTTATTATTCCGTAATCAAAAGTAAAAACTATTTGAATCCAAGAATTGCGAGCCGCCAGTTCGCTGAACGCGCCATTACAGGGGAATGTCACTTTAGCACTGCCAGAATAGGAAGAAATCTTAAATGACCAGCCATACTCGTACTCATCTGCTTGGTCATCAGCAAGCAAGCCCGAATTCAGGACCTTTAGATCTTTATCGGCTCCAGTTTTAAAGAGAAATGACACTGTAAAATTCTGACAGAGAAATGGATTACTGATGCACGTACCAGCAAAGTCACCAAGGTCAACTTCTTCTCCGGCGGGCACAAACAGAGCCTGTATTCCATCTTCCACCTGAGTTCTGACGCCATTTGGGATTTTCTCGCTTTTGAAAGATTTGTTGGCTGCTTGGTCGTAACCATACAATGCCTGGTTAGCAATTGGATAAAAAGGCCAGGAGTAATTAGCTGTTGAATGACGAAAACAATCTAGTCAGTGGGTCAGTCAATCTGATCAGTCACTTATCTCAGTTCAGTAACATTTACCGTAAAATTCCGAAAATAAGCCCCTCCATGTATAAGCCCCTCCAAATATAAGCTACACAAAATCGTAACACAAAAAAAACCCTCCGTGAAATCACCCCTCCGACTATAAGCCCCCCCCCCCCCGGGGGGGCTTGTACTTGGAAAATTGCCCTCAAACACAAAGTAAAATAAAGCAGAAGCGGTAAATTTCCTTCCAACTATAAGCTAGCACAATCGATTTTGAAACGCAAATTTCCCTCCGTAGATAAGCCCCTCCGAATATAAGCCCCTCAAAAAGGGGCTTTGAAAAATATAAGCCCCGGAGCTTATTTTCGGAATTTTACGGTATCTTTTAATGTCCCTTATTAGAACTGTTCGAGGGTCTCTTTAGGCCAGCTGGAAGACTTGACACTTCTAGAAGCGTCCTTTTTCGCTATGGAACTTGACAAATCACTTGTGAATGACAAGATAGTGTAAATGACAAAATTACGGCTTCGTGTGGAAAAAATATGCCTTTCTCCCAAACATTAAATCAAACTAATAGGCAACGACAATTACCTTTCAAGAACGTTTAGGCCAACAAGTTTTCAAAAAACACAGTTGTAATCCGTTTCAATCTTTTTCAGGTTTGTTCATCCGGCTTCCGTCCATCTACGTTTGCTATGTAATTATACCTTGTTTTCAATGTTTAAGCACCTGGGTTATTTTTACTGATGTTACAATCGGGTTGGCGACTGTTACGGGTTCCCACGGTTTGAATTTTGATAAATTTCGTGACACATCTCATTTAAGGTGATGTTACACGGGACGATTCGCAACGACGATTTTTAGAGCAACACAGCGTTGCAACGCTGGAACAATGTTTTAACCATTCGAAACATCGTCGCAACAATGTTTCCACGCTCTGTTGCGCTAAAAATCGTCGTTGCGAATCGTCTCTGAAACATTACATTTAAGTGAAGATTATTATGAACGTACAATAATCGGCTAACTGAGCATAAAATACAGTTACCAGAAATAATTTTTTTTTATTATTTTAAAAAAAAAACGTTATCGTTGCCTTATTTCGTGATTCATGCAACATTCAGAGGAAATGGATTCTTCCAGCATAATTTAAACGGAAAAAACAAGATCAACAGAACTACTTACAAAACATGTACACAGATTAATCTAATACGTCCTGATAAGTAGCGGTCAAAAACCCATTAGTACTCTTCACTTCGCTGGACCTGGAGTAGGTTATTATTTAGGATGATAAACTCATAACCTGTCCCACAGAACTTGCCATAACAAAATTGCGGGAGGGCTTCTACGATCGCGGAAAAAAAAATCGTGTTAGAAATTAAATTTGCCCTGTTGTTATCTGCTACCTTTGGATAAAGGTATGTCTAAAACTACTTGCAAACAGACGTAACAACGCCCAACAATGTCATTTGGAGTTGTTGCGTCCGTTTTCACGTAGCTAAAAGTTTGAACGATTTCTAACTTCGGGCAACAACTCCCAACAACACTCAACAACGTGCAACAGGGCCGTGCGAACGGACCCAACATGTAACAACCAACAATGTTGGGAGCTGTTGGCCAACAATGTTTTCGTCCGTTTGTAAGGGGCATACTGTAAGGGCTAAGATGGAAGCTGTTGTCTCACGTGAAAATCCTGAAAAGCAAACCCCGTGAAAACGAAAACGCATTCTTTTGAAAACGCAGTAGTGTGGACAGGGCGTTAAAGCTTTGACAACAAAGAACGTGTTCTACTTTATTTACATTTATAATCATATTAAATCATCAAAAAATACCCCAGGGGGGTGCCGCCCCAAAGGGTATGATTTTTACGCCGTTTTGGTCTGAAAACGAGTATAGACTTCGCCCATTTTGGTCTACAATTAGGTATGGTTTTCGAGGAAACTATAGGAGTATATGAACCTATTTACCGTTTCAGTTCCAAATGATACGCGAATTCGGAGTGGATTTTAAGAAATCTATTTGGTTGGCGTTCTTATCTAAGTAATTAAGACATAATTTCTTGGAGGCCAGGTCTGAAAACAGGTGGAAAACTATGACATTTTTTGGTCTGAATCGGGGTCAGGATTTGGAGAAGTGTTCGGCACAACCCCACCTAGAAATCTCAGGAGTACCTCCCCGGGAAACTACCAAATACGTCGGTGATGATATAATGAAGTAACAGAACAAAAGATCGCGCAACACAATAAGCTACAATAGAACACCATACTTTAATGGAATAATAAAGAATACTTGTGAATCACGAAATACACGAAAACCTCCCCCGCATGGAGACAGCTTTGTAAATCTAATACGTATTTGACTAAAGAAAAACAAATTTAAATTCCCAGAAATTCTCATCAGATCTGTAACATCGATTCCGAAAACTCAGGGCGCAAAGAATCAGAACTGTTTTCTATACGGTCACGCCACAGGTTCTATATGCAGAGAGCAAAACCAGCGTGTACAAAATACAGTCGAACCTCTTGTAACATCGGAATCGTTTACTAAATTGCATCCCTATCACTGGTCCGCCGGGCACAACGGCTAAAACTGAAGTGCTCAATACTTGTCAACTTTTAAGTTTCGTGCTTTTAGCTTCTTTTTAATGTGCTATAGTTGATTGTGTTACGTTCTTGCAAGCATTGTAGCTCATTTTGAATGTATAAAATGTAACCTTGTTCCCAGTTTTAGAAAGTGGTCTGTCCTATGTTACATTACATCCCTTCGATCCTCCTCGACTCTCGTTTCACTGATAACCTTTGCAAAGACAGTGGCTGACAGAAAGGTTCCCGCTCAGGCCCACATCCTTAGTGTGTTTTCAGCTTTCAAGTAAGATATACAAAATTTTTACACGATATGCATATGATTGTAAAATGTAAATTGGGGCTCGCGTGTTTTACTTTACCTGCATATGTTCCACCAATGAATAGAAGGGCGAAGAAAACCCTCATCTCTTCCGCTATCCCCGCTAAACAGAGTACAAAAGAAAATGTAGCGCTAGAAATTCAAGCACGTGAAATTGTAATTGATCATCCTTAATGTGAGGTTTGTGGGTATGTCGAACCGGGGGGGTGGGGGGTGGTGGAGGAAAGGGTCTGGGGACGTGCCTTAGTTGGCAAGATGATGGCAACAATATGCATTGGGAAAAACTGTTTGAATGCAGAGGTCCACGCAAAGCGTAAATATAACTGACTGGTTCCTCTCGCCGGATCTCTAATTAAAGAGATGCTGTAGCCAGACGTCACTTAAAGTGCCGGTAAAATAAAACAAAGACCTGATTTATTAAAGGCCTATAATAAATCAGCCCTTTCCCGTAGTGCCAGCCCTACATTCAGTTTGGTTTTAATGTTAGCATTGTTGCTGTGAACTTGCTGATATTTCACAAAGCTGTGCACTTAAATTAAGCCCTTCTTTGAATTTAGTAGTCAGAGAAATACTTTATACAAAAATCAGACTTCTATTGAGACTGAATTGCATTGATTCAGGTAGCCTGCCAGCAGGCTTTCCACTTCGAGTGGCGAGAGAGCGCGCGAGTGGACGGCGAAGCCGCGAAGGGCGGAGGAAAAGGAGAACTCTCCTTTCTTTTCCCACATCTCGCACTTGTCTCTCCTTTCGCGCGCGCCTCTCGAGTGACCTCTCTCGACTCCCCCAAGTGGAGAGAGTGTGCTAAGAAAGAAAGGGAAAAAAATAAACTAGTTTGTTCTAACGACCGCCCAGTGCGTCTTGCTAAAAAAGAAAGAAAAAAACCAGAACATTAAAATATCATTTCTCGCTGAAACAGATGACCTAACATGACCTAAACTTCGAGCCAAGACCCGAACCAAGGGTGTTGGTCTTTTCCTTTTTGAAAGCTATTGCTCGAGGAACCGGGCCCATAAGGATATACCTTGACCAACAGCAATAGGGAGTTTTTAAACTCTCTATCTCTATTGCTGTTCTCTATTTTTTCTAAGAACTTCTCAAAATAGAAAATGAGCACATATAAAAACTGCTCAAAACAATTCTTATGGATAAAAAATTGCGTGAACTATCAATTTATAGTGTAGACAGATAATGAAAAGTAAACGACAATTAAATGAAAAACTTGGTCACGTGGTACTATTTTCATTGCACGGAAGTATCGAAGGTTGTATCGAGGAAACAGGAAGGTTAAACATGTTGGAGTGGTTTTTACTGACTAACTACAGCGTCCCTCTGACCAGTGTGATAACGATCGCAACTTTGGTCTTGACAACAGTGATCGTCTTCAGACTGTTTTCCAAAAGGCAAGTGAATGATTTCGGAAACAACTGTTGTGGTGATTACGGGCTGCGACACTGGGTTCGATCACGAAAAAGCTATTCTCCTGGATAAGATGGGAGTTCATGTGTTGGCGACTTGTCTGACAAAGGAAGGGGAACAAAATTTGAAATCAGAGACGAGCGACAGGCTTAAAACATTTCAGATGGATGTGACAAACTCGCAGCAAATCAAAGATATCTACAAGAAAGTAAGGGAAATTTTGCCCTCGGGACAAGGTGGGTGTAAGAGGCTGTAAGCCTGTTCTAGGACTCTGGGCACTCGATTTAGGGTACACAAACTTGTCCCGGCGTTACCACAAAAACCAAATCGAACGTTTTATTAATCGAACTTAATCGAACTCAGTCGAGTTTAATCGATTGATTACGTTCGATTAAGTGCGGTTATTAAACAGAATCGAACTCAGATCTCACAAAAAAGTTTTAGGGGGTGTTTACGAGAGAAAACTCGCACCGGCGCGAGTTTCATGCCGGGATGACTTTTTGATTTCGTAATCGAACCCAAGCGAGCTTTGATTAAGTTCCATTAGGTTCGATGGTCGAATCTGGCATACATTTGATTAAAAATGGGACGTTACACAGGAAAATTAACACGGGACGAAAAAACGGATTTACCGAATGTCAAAGGTGAAGTCAAACGCGC